TTTAGTTGTCACTCCTAAGAAAAAATTAGAGAATCACTATAAAGATTGAAATTAAACAAGTGACTGAACTCTTCTATTAACATTACAAATTGTCTATTTATATAAAAAAACATAAAAATAGATTCTGGCACCGTGACGCTCCAGAAAATTACACTGCAATGCCAATAAAATGAACTAACACCACAGTGTTAAAGGGCTTCCTCCACTACGGTGCTTGCTGACATGGACCCGCTGTGTAATGAATCGATGCACAACTTTACTAGCATATCATGGCATGAATAACTACAACTATAACGTTGTGGCACTATTGATGGTTGAGCACAACGACATCCACATGTTACTCCCTTAACTTAGCGGCATTAGAATTTAGCATCACGATGCTATGCAAATAGAAACTAGGCTTTGTAGTGCTGACTCCTCCGACATTGCAGTGCTGTCAAATAGAGACTAGGGGCTACTGTATCCATATTTGGGTACTCTAGTCAAGCCAATGATGGTGTTGCAGTAGTATTATATTTAACACTGCAGTATTGTACCATACTTAAAATTTTTGCTTATTTCCTATATTTTCTAGCACAAATAAAACTAATACAATATATTTTCACTGGCAAATTAAAACATAAAATATAACATTATTTATATTTATCATGTATACATCTCCATAGGTATGTTGTTATTTCATTTCCAAGATGACATCCGTGTTCCTTAACTATAATGGAAGGAAGTCATCCCTCACTTGGACCCCCTGAATAGTCAGAACCACCCCCCTACACACTCCTTTATATGTCTCCACCTTCTATGTGCCCATCATCATGTCATAACACCATGTGTCCATGAGTTTCTCTCCTATTTAGTCTATGACCTGGTTGGAGATTAAATTATGAGAAGCTGCACTGTCTATCAATACCACTACCTCCATGCTTATTATTTATCCTCTCATTTTCATAATGTGCTTTAGAGTAAATCTGACAACTGAGTTCAAGGAGACCTCTGCCATGTCTAAATGCATCTCTTTCCTCTCCTTCACCACTGCCTCACTCCCTCTTCTCTCCTTAGTTTTTTCGTCATCACAAAGGATAAGAACTTGAAGAGTTTGGTCCTTACACATGTGCCATGGTGTATATCTCTCATCATATCTAAAACACAACCCCTTCATCCACTTCTCATGTAGCTTATTCTCAATAAGCTTTTAGAAGTTCCCCCTGATTCCCCCTCTTACAGTCTTCTCTTTTGTAGGTCTCCTTAAGAATACCTGTATCAGCCCCTTGGGTGTAAAAAAGGTGGTGGTAATCTTGAACGATCCTCCTAAACTGCTACCTCTGGCCTCCCTCTCCAGGTGCTTCTAGTCCTTCACTAATTTGGCGAGATCTATAGCTTCTCCCAAATCACGAGCCATCATCACTCTAACTACCTCCCTAATATCTAGTTTGAGCCATTTCCTAAAATTTTCCTCCAATATAGTCTCTAAAAGGCGGTCTAGTTTGCTGACATGGTACTCAAACCTCTCACATTACTCCACCATATATTGATCCCTCATGCGTTATAGAAAATAACTGCTCATTAAAGTCTTCTTCCCTTCTGGTTCAAAAACATTCCAACATGTGGTCTTTGAACTCCATCCAGGTCCATATGGGCCGCTTCATATCTCTCTACTGGTATTATGCCAATACATTCCCCTCCAAGTATAAACCAACTGCCATAAGTCTCTCATCCTCCTTCAACCTATTAATGATAAAATATCTCCCCACCTTGTAAATCCAACCATGTACATCCTCTCCCTAAAAAATATGCATCTTCAGTTTTCATACCCTCTGATCTTCTATGTTCCCCTTGATTCCTTCATCCCATTCCACAAGTGGGTGGTCCCCCTAAGTGTCATAATTATCCCTTTCGCGCTCGTACCCAAACCCATCATCAAAATCCCCCTCCTTTTAAAATCAACACCTCTCCAGTCATAATTAACCCCTCTTTTTTTTTTTTTTTTAATTTAACACCCTTTCATTCATACCCAATCACCCTCATGCCTCTCATCATATCTTTTGCATAGCTCCTCCCTATAAATGGGCTCTAGAGGAGGTCTTCTCTCTTCTCACTCCAAAATCTCTGCATCATGATCATCCCTTCGGTTGCTAGAATTTGTATTTCCTCCTATTGATCCTCTTGCCTCTATTGTCACCAGTTGAATATGAAGATCCAACACCTTCATTGTGATGTTATAAAATATAATTTGAAAAAATTATTCTTTTATCTTTTAATAAATAATATGATAGCTATATAACTTTATTTATTAAAATTAAATAATAAAAGTAATTTTAAAATTCAAAACATCTATATACACATTTGTATTCATTTCTAAAAAATCATGTATACAACTCATGATCTATATACAATCAAATTACAACTACTCTATTATGAGTATAAAAGAATACTTAAAATAAAAATAATATGAACTGAAAGGAATCCTGATTAATCTCACACTGCTACTCCCTTGCCTTATCCTGAAATTATTTAATTACATATAATAAGCTCAAGATCCTAGGAATTAATCAAATCTTATAACTAAACTCAACATAAGGCATAAGAGAAATATGTATGTTAGTAGCCAAATCATACTAATAGTATTCATATAATCATGAATCAGTGTAGAAATAATAAAACTCATATGCAGTAGTAGTAAAATCTATAAATAATAAAATATTATGGTACATAAGCCAATAAATTAGTATGTGTGTAAATTTATAAAGCAGTCATCGATTAATACTATAATCAGTAGATGAATCATATATAATGGTGAAATCAAATCATTGATAGACTGTCAAAATTATATCAATACAGTAAAATCATATAAGAGTGTATACATATTATTTTGGTATTCTATATCAGTATCTTAATCACATGCATAATATATTCTTTATATCACATGCTCAATGTATATATCATGCTTTTTATATCAATGAATCAATAACAATGATCATAATAAACCAGTGCAATAATATGAACAATGCTTCAATAACATGCATTTCAATAGTCACACTAAATAAGTAAATAAATAAGAAATTCTTATTTAAATAATATTTTTCCAGTATTAATAAACCATTGGCTTAGTAAAAAAGATTTGTAACTCATTACCCACTGACACAATAATCATCTCCTTATAACTTCCAAATAATATATCATGTGAATCAATCGAGAATAACATCAAATCATATATTTAAAGAAAAGTCCGTCGGCCCACTATCCTGTATATGTCAATCAGTCTCCAACCAACGTCGATAAATAACCATTATTTACTTATTTTTCCCCACACACATTATTATAACAATATTATAATAGGTATAACTTATAAATACTAGATAAATCATATATCCACATTCATTTTTAACATTATAGTAAATAAAGCATAATTGGGTTTAACTCATAAAGTGCCAAAATGTTCTGATAGTATGCAACATAAAACCCTACTGAGTAATTTTTTAAAAAAATTAACCAAATTATAAGAGGCCATATAAAATAATATTCAGAAGCTTTAATTTAACTAAAATTTTATTTTTATGTGTCAAAATAAATATCTGAATTGACAAAAATCACTGCATTTTCAAAATCACCAGATGAAAAATTTCAAATAGATATTCAAAATATTTATAGTCTCAAGCTCTATAATATATAAAAAAATTATGCGATGAAAGTTTTATCGATACAAAATTATCCTTATTTTTCGATAACAAAAAGATAAATTTGTTCATCATGAAACCTCTTAAGAAAAAGAAGCTAAACACTTAAAGATCGAGGTGCCTTTTAGTTTAATGGTCAGAATTTCATTTAAGAAACTCAACAAATAAGCATGTTCATTTCGAAGAAATCCTGGGATGAGTGACCTCCTATGAAATTATACCAACATGACAAAACCTTGATGCTCTTAGGCCAAAACAAACAATATATCGATAGTTAAGAGTTTGAGCTGTTACAAATGATATCATAACAATACACCCATTGAATCACTTTACTATTCCGCCTCATGTAACACTTGACTTGTCCAAGAGGGACCAATCCAACATTCACCTATGACCACTTGGTTAGCATATCTTAACTTAGCCTAACTTAAGCCCAATCAAATAGTCCCTTAGATTTTATGTCAACAAACATGTCAAACTAGGAATAGTAAATGACAAAAAATCACCATTAGCCATTAATGTTACTTCAAAGAAATTTAATTCAAGAAGGAAAATAATAATGGATATAGTAAAGCTTTTTTTTTTTCTTTGTGATTTTGACTCTTGCAAACTAGGTTCATTGAAACTTTTGTAAATCATCACATGGAAAATAGAAACCTTAAAATTAAAATTTTCTCTCAATCATTTTGTTTTTTGAGTTTAATGATGACTTTCAAGGGACAACTCTTCTTATATTCGTGCGAGGTCTAGATCTTTCAATTCATTATTTCTTTCCTTGTTCTTTCTTCAAAACTGATTAGTGATTAGTGTGTACGCTTAATTAAGATTTTGTGAAGTTTGACACATTAATTTTTTTCATTACGGTTTAATTGTATATTTCTTATGATATTATAATTTTAGCAACTATACATTATCATTTTGGAGCGAATAAAGCGTTTTTTTTTTTGCATCAAAAGTAACTAATCTTTATTTAAATTGAATCTATAAATTGTGATATTTTTGTTTCTTTGTACAGCTCATCCCAAATTTAGCTTTAGTAAATATTAGACCATTGACCCCACTGGGCTTAGATGGGTTTGGTGGGCGAGCTTGGTTGGGAACCCCACGACTCCTTAAGTTGGGAGAAAATAACTGTGGATCCTGCACCTGTGGGGATGATTGTTGGTAGACTCGTCGAGGAATTAGTTACGCCCCCAAGCACCTCTTTCAAGAGGTGGCAGCCGCCGGCCGGTAGATACACCTGTTAAAAAAAGAATAAAAAAAAAAAAAACCATTGGACATATTTTAGCTTAATTTGGGATGAGCTGTACCACTTTGTTGGCATATTTTAGGTTAATTTAAGTCTTCCCTTCCCTCTGATTAGGCCGATGAGAGCGAGGTCCGTGCAAAAGTTTCTTCGACCCAGGACGAAACGCGACTTCGATACGTCCGCCCACCTAACTGCCTCAAAAGCTTCGCGCCTCCATAAATCCCTCCTCATAAGCTCTCAATTGATCGAGCTGAAGATCTCGAGGTTGTTCTCTTGTTATGGCAGCAGTTCTACAGGCGGCGGCGCTTTTGATGGGGTCGCAGACCGACATCAAGAGGTTCCGGCTCAGATCAGCGCTCCGATCTGCTCCTGGTAAGCTTTCATTCCGTCCTAAGAAATGGATTCGTATTCCGTATTGTTTCTTTGAGTTACTCAACATATTTTTAGCTTCGGAATAAGAAATTCATTCGTATTCCTGGCGCTGGTTATGTTTTTGATCCGAGATATCAAGAGTGTTTATTTTTGGTGACTGATTAGCGATTTGGAGATGGTTTCTTGGGTAGCTGGAGTTGGATCTGACGTATTTTTTTATGTGGCTTATCTTGGCAGTTCGACATGAGGGTTTTTTCGTGGTTAGGACTGATGGGAGGTTGTCTGCAACTTCTGGTATGATGCCTCGCAGGGCTAAGTTGATCCCAAATGCAGTTGCAGTTAAGTGTTGTTTTATCTTTACGTTAAGCTGAATTGGTTCCCTCCGGATGCTTTTTTTGGCTATGCAAGATGAGCATTTAATTTTCATGTCACTCCCTTCATTTGCTTATTTTAATTCAAATGAAAGCGATGGAAAAACACTTTTTTGTTCTCGCACTTTAGCATTTTCTTTTTCTAACCGTGCATTGATTTGTTGTTTGTTTCAGGTTAAGGAAGATACTCCTGCTAGCTCTGCTGCCTCGAAACCAGGGTAAGCTATTGTTTAGTAATCAGCATTTGTGACAAAAATGTGGTTGCGTATTATGGGAAAATGGTAAAAATAACCGTCTATTATTTTTCCAATCGTAATTTACATAATTCTTCTACAACTATCTTGATAGCCAAATAGGTTTATTTTGACTATAGGATAAACAAACCGTAATGGCTGGATTGCCTCTTTTTCATCTAACATTGAGAAGTGTTTATCATCATAACTTTACAAATAGAACAGAATGGAGTATAGATGTATATAAACAGTAAGACTGACACTTCAATTGCTATTTTTTTCATTCATCTATGGATAAGCATGAGCTGTATCTTCAAACATTTAGACATAAATAACCCTATTGTATGAAGTAATTTATAGATTTAAAAGAAACTAAAAAGAATGAATAAAAGTGCAAAATTTGCTATCGTGACGATCAAGAGAAAAAGTTGCTAGATGACTTGACAAGCAGAGTTTGATTCAAGATTTGGAATTTATGGTTGATAGAGGCAGTGTTAAGGCATAACATTTAAAGCTACTACAAAAAATTCACATTACCTTCAAGGATTAGTAAGTGAACTACACAAACTGTCAAAAATATTTAAAAAAAAAAAAATTATTCAATGAGAATTCAAAAAAAAGGTGCAAGAGTATATCCAATGCTACAGTAATCTCTAGATATATCCTTTCAAAACTACTACAAAATTTCATATTATCTTTAAGTATTGATTAGTGAAGTGTACAAAAATGTGAAAATATAAAAATTAAAATTTATTCATTCATTCAAAATTCAGAAAGATGCTTCTCCATAATACCACTTAGGCATTTGAAGCTGCACCATACATGTTTTCATTACAACAAATGCATTAATAGTATAATTTGCATCAAACTTTTTAAAAGTGCATTTTTAATGTATGTTATTAATCAATTTTCAAGGAACTCATCATCTAGTTGTTTTGTGATCTAATTCTTGCAATCTCCATGTTTAAGAAGCTCTGTTGATTGCTTTAGTGAATATTGGCAAAGTTAGCACCAGCCTGATTAATCTGTCTCTTTGAGGATAAATTAGCAGCTTCCTTGTCAAAATTTGGCACAACTTTCATGCTGTGGATGCCTTTTTTAAGTCATTTTGACATGCTCCGTGTTCAAAAAGTTCCAATTTGTACTTCAATATAATTTTTCATGATCACCATAATCATTAAGATTGAAATTATTTATAAGTTCGTGAGATCTTTCAACATTGAATTGTTGATATCCTTTTTTAGGATTCAAAGATTTGCTAAGCATTGGGAATGTTGAACATCATGTATGAGTATCATGGCCTCACACCTTTAATAAATTTATTTCGACTACTCAAGAGTATCCCCTACATCCTTAACCTCTCACCACAACAAGTGGAAGTCTTGGATCGCCCTTTCCAAGGATCATTAACTTTTGCATCAGAGCCAAAGCCTAAATTTTGGCAATTTCCACATATGGAGCATTTTGATCTTTTGGAGCTTCACTCATTTGTGCTTGTAATTGGTTGATTTATGAACTACCAAGGGGTAATCTCTTACATTGAACTTGGTTAATTTACTTTTTTTGTGTTTTAATAAAAATCAAGGAGAAAATCAAGCTTATGATATCATGTACTTAGCTCAAACTAGTTACCTCACCACAAAGCCTGGCCTACTACTTGTGAGAACTTACCATATACCTTTTATTGTGTGAATTACTTTTTGAGAGAGTGCTCCACTTAAATCAATAACTTACTTGAGTGTTAACCCATATATAAGAGCCTACTTTATATTGCTTAGGACTAACTTTTAGTTTCCTGAAGGAATCACACTTTACAAATTTTTTGTGTTATTTTTTTTCCCAAAACTTAATAAAAAGGTTTAAGAATTCATAATTGCATTCATAACCCATCTTATTACATAGGATAATGGTCGACCCCTAAAGAAGAAAAAAAATTTCTAGCATTCTCTGAATGTTGTCCTTGAATATCATGCCACCCAAAGCAGTCTCCATGGATCAAGTTGAGGGTATGACTAGGATGGTAGAGGTAATAGATACTAGGCTTCATAAGAAGAATTTGAGGCACCAACTATTTAAGGAGGCTAGAATCCAATTTTATGGGAAGTGAGATCAAATTCATGAGCTAATAAATCAAATGATTGTTTTGGTAGCACTTGTGCAAAACCTACCACTTCCAAGGCTACATCAATTGGCAGTTCTACTATCTCCTTCTTAAATTTAGTATTCATCACTTACAATTGATAATCAATAACGACTGAGACTTCCAATCAATGATGGTGCTCCATCATGATATGATCTCTTGGAAGACAAGATCAATCTCTTCCACTCAATAATCACTCATATAAGAGATATTTATGCTATGTTTATAAAAAAAGATACCACTTTCTTATATGAAGATTCTCATCCATCTTCCCTTAACTTTTTAAGAAGTACTTTGTCATAACAACTAATTGCATTACATTTAAAATATCTTGAGAATTTAATTGCAAAGCTTGATAAAGGTCATCAACAATTTTATAATTTTCATTTATGTAAGGTAAAACAAATTCAAATGAGATGAACGCATCATATGCTCCATTAGCTTCACCTCGTTAGGCTGATTAACTTTCTTCAATAATGATATTTTGCAGCATTAAATATTCACCATCAAATACAACAATTACATGCCTTTATCCTACTATATGGTGTCAGTTACATGAATCATATTTCTCCATTGTGTTCTATGAAGTGCAAAATTCTCATTTAAATATAATAAAAAATATCATTACTAATACTTTATAACCAAGTCTTTTTATTTTATGTCTACCTCTACATTTCTTTACATAGGCTAGATCTAATGCATTTATTTTTCTAACCGAATCATCGTAAGGCTAGCATGTTATGTGACCAAATCATCTATAAGACGACTTCAACCTTTTCACTTATATAATCATTTCACATTCCATCTCTAAGTGGAAAGCCACTCATCCATTTGAGCATCCTCATCTCTGTAACACTTAACTGAAATTTATGCTTCTCTTTTGATGGCTAACACTTTGCTCCATAAAGCATTGTAGGTCTCACCACCATCTTATAAATTTTTAATTTTTTATTTTTGTTCGATGGTACTTTTCTATCACACAACCAGCCCAATAAATTCGTCCACTTCAGCCATCTAGCTTGAATTCTATTAATAATATTCACATCTATTTCACCATCATTTTGAACAATGGACCCTAGGTATCTAAACATGCACTATTTTTAATGGCTTGATCAATCTCACCCAATGTTACAATCCCGCTACTAGATCTATTATTACTAAAATTATATTCCATGTATTCGGTTCAGATTTACTCAAACAAAAACTTTTAGACTCTAAGGTTAACCTCTATAATTCAAATTTTCTTTCAACTCCTCCAGTCTATCAAGAAGAAGAATATCATCAAGAAAAAGCATACACTATGGTACATCCTCTTGCAAATGTCTATTAAGAACATACATGACTAAAGCAATAAGATATGGGCTTAAAGTTGATACTTTATATAATCCAATTGAAATAGGACAATACTTGGTTAACCCACCTTGTGTTTGAACACAAGTAACAACTCATATATACATTGTAACCTATACTTAATTACTCTCTCATGAATTTTTAATGCATGACACATTAATTAATTCCTCTATAATTTGCATGCTATTGTGTATCATCTTTATTCTTAGAAATAAGAAACGACACACTCTACTCATTTAGCATCATTTTAGTTTTCAAAATAATATTTCAAAGTTGCTAAGAATTCCTTGATCTCCTAAGCATTTGTACACCTCTATTGAAATATCACTAGGTCTCATTGATTTTCACACTTCATTTTTTTGAAAAATGTCTCCAATTTTGATTTTACTAATATGACAATAAAAATAAAAATCTCTATTTTTCATTTAGGTTGTTAAGGTCACTAAAATCATTCATATTCTCACAATCTTTATTGAAAAGATTATCAAAATATCTCCTTCATTTATGTTGAATATTCTCTTATAAGAAAATCAATTTTAATCTTCATCCTTAATGATTTCAATTGAACTAGATTCTTATATCTCCTATCTTTTTATTTGGCTAAGTTATACACATCTTTCGCCTTATTCAATATCTAATTTGTTATATTAATCACTAAAAGCTAAATATTTTGTATTGCATATTATTTTCTTGGACTCCTTATGAGACCCTCTATATCTTTTCCAATTTTTCATGCTTTTACATTTAAATCAATTTTAATAATAAAGCTTATTATTTTTTATATTTTTTTTTGCTCTTTTTGATTCAATCAATTATTTTTTCTCTTATAAGCTTTTCTTTTTAATTCATCGAGCACATATTTTGTAGTATTCTTAATATCTATGATTATTTTTGCTTATATAACATTAACTACCTCATGAACAATCCTAATTTTGAGATCTAGGATTTTATTCTCAAAAATATTTTTATTAGCATGTTCTTTAAATGCCCCCATTTAATTCTAAGATAATATTTTATTTTAATTTTTATATTGCACCCCTTCATTTCAAAGTTCAAAACTAATAAATAATGCTCAATACACAAACTTTCATTCGGGATAACTTTACAATTTTTGCAATCTAAACAATATACTTTTCTTATAATAAAATAATAAATTTGAGTTTTACCATGTTTGTTCTTATAAGTGATTAGATACTCTTATCTTTTCTTCAATAAGGTATTAGTGATTACAAAATTATATGCTACAACAAAATCTAATATGATCCTATTACATTTATTTGTCACTCCAAATCTATAGCCACCATGAATATTTTTAAAATTTTCTATTACTCTACCAAAATGCCTATTTAACTCTAATAAAAAACTCTTTCTTCAAGAGGTTTCTTTTGAATTAATTCTTCTAAGTCATTCTAAAATTTTTATGTTTGAACACATATCTAAACCTACTTGAGAAGCATAAGCACTTATAATATTAATAATCTTAGCATCAATAACAATATTTAAAAATATGATTATATCTCCAATTCTATTTATTTATACAATATTATCCTTCAATTTTTTTTAATCACACTTGTCATTTCTAGTACGAGTGTACGACTTTCACTTGAATGCCATAGTTTAAATTCTAAACTATCAATTTCCTTAGCCTTTTCTCTAACCCATTTAGTTTTCTGAATATGTAGAGTATTTTTATATTGATTAAATTATAAATTTCAAGTAAGGACTCCATCTGCTATTTCTGCCTCATTGAGCGAAACCTATATATGATTTTTTTTTAATCCATTTCAATTTCTTCAAGTTCAATCATCTTGTACAACAGCAACAACAACATCAAGCCTTTATCGCACTACGTGGGGTCGGCTACATTAATCCTTTTTCTCCATTGTGTCCTATTAAAAGTCAAATTATCGTTTAAATCTAATAAAGAAAGGTCATTCCTAATATTTTCTAACCAAGTCTTTTTAGGTCTACCCCTACCTTTCTTAACATAAGTCAAATCTAATGTATGGAAAAAAAATAAATAAATAAATAAATAAATAAAATTAAAATAAAAACAAACATGAAAGACAATGAATTCCATTTGTACTTGGTGTGTATTTTAATCTATCTAGAAATAATTCATAAGAAGAGAAAAAATTGATGATCATTCTTCTCAATAAAATTTCAAGAATATATGGGAATGGGTTCCTTGAGATAAGCACGCTGAATTAGTTTAGCAGATATCTCCATATTAGTTTACGTGAGACCACTCTTCGAAGGATATGTGACAAATTCATCAGATTCAATTCTGGATGCTTCATTGGGCATTGTTCCAATCATTCAGATTCAATTTTAATTTGTTTCATTTACAGAAGAGATTCCTTGATAATTGTGGGCTCGCCATTTGTTTATTTGGTATGAGTTAGGGAACGTTACTGATGAGGATTTTTAGTAGTGGCTTGAATATTTATTTAAAAGAATGAATGAGTCATTTGTTGAGCTTAGTGAAATCTAGTGCTTTACCTGGGGAAAAAAAAGTGTAGACATGAGACTGAATTAATAAATCTTATATAGAAAGTGTAATATGCACTTATATCTATCGACTGATGATTTGAATTTAATTGAACTATTTATACAAATTAAAGTTCAAAATGCCCCATAAACTAATTAAAATTAAAACAATAGATGAACTGTTGAAATTTCTTATTGACAAAATAAGGCTTAAGAAGTTTGTGTAATGTAGTTATTGTTAGTGAGTTCAAATCTAATATAACATAAAAATCTATTGAATACTAAGCATATATCAATTGAGCTTTTAGTAGTTTACTTATTCAACAGTGGCTTCCTATATGATAGAGCCAAAGTTTAAGGCTTGGTGTTGTCAAGCAAAGATCTTATGTTCTATTTAAACCTTAAATGAATTTGAACGAAGTAAATTAATTATAGAACAAAGGAAAGATCAAGGATCTTGATTCTTGAACAATAAAAGTTGATAAAAATCATAAACGAAGATAGCCATCTACTGAAAAAGAGAATCAATATTAAAATCAGAAAGATTTCTAAAACTGAGTTATTATGAAGACATTTATAGAATATTGAAAAATACATTAATTAGAGGTGATACAGCGTCCTTGAAATCAGGTGGCAACTTGATGCCTTAAAGTGATGTGGCAACATGAAATAGACTATGATGCGACATCTTTAGAGCCCAGAGAAGAGGGTGATAATGGTAGATATGCAGGATCAGCGATGATGTAATGACATGGGATCAATGGAGATATGATGTCTTTGGAGCCTGAAGGAGAGGGCGAGATGAATGATGATGTGTAGTTGAATAGCGAGAAACTAGCTATGAACTAGTGAGAGAGCCAGCCACAAGAGAGATTTAGTGGGGTTAGGTATCATGTTGGAATTTTTGCTGATTTGGTTAGGAATTTTTATTTATTTATTATTTAAATATTTTGGGGCAATAGTTTACTATACTTTATCTTCTTTATTTAAATTTGATAAAATACATATTAAAAATACCTAATATAAATGGTCAGTCAAATTTCAATCAAGTACATCAAAAGTCTTAATTTCGTCACATGAAAATTTTTAAAATTTCTTTTGAGGGGCGTGAGGTTTTGGGAATTTTACTTATTTTTTTTATATCGGCTTATGTCATATAATAAAAATGCATTCCAAATGAAGATAGAAGTTAGGATTAGGTATCATGTTGAGCAATGTTATTTAAATTTTCTTCATGCTTGAGTGACTGACTTGGGCAATATAGCTGCTGATAAATTGGTCAGTTTATTGGATAAGTTATTTTGATTTGGTTCTATTTATATCTCTGAATTCTGATATTTTATAATCACATTTATCGAAGGTACAACCGTACAAATATTTATTTTGAGTGTACATTTGTGTTGCCTTAGATGGTTTGGTCGCATAAAACGGCGGCCTTCCAATGACCAGGTTAGGAATGTAGATGTATTAGATTTGATTTATGTTAAGAAAGTTGGAGGTAGACCTAAAAAGACTTGGTTAGAAAATATTAGAAATGACCTTTATTAGATTTAGATGAGAATTTGACTATTACCAAGGCACAATGGAGAAAAATGATTCTTATAACCGACCTCACATAGTGGGATAAAGGCTTGTTGTCATTGTTGTTGTACATTTGTGTTGGTGTTCCTCTATATAAATTAAACATAATAAATTACAGTTTGTGCTTCTAACAGAACTATAGTTATAAACGAGTTGGTGTTTATTTGTATGCATCTGTATATTTATAGAAAAGAATGTAGTCAAAGGTGAATTCATGAGCTTCTTCACCCTTTGCGTCTCTTGTTAATATTTTTCTAATAACCACATCTTGTAGTTTCTTTCTCTCTTGCAACCTAAAATTTGTCTGCTGCTCACGTTCTTATGAATTGTAAGAAGCTGATGCAGCTGAAGAAAGTTAGCTGCCTTTTCATGATATCACTGGCATTCTTATTTTAATCTGTATGGGTATTTGCTTCATTGTTCAATCAATTTTCACGACAACATAACACAAAAGTCTTCTACTTGTTCCATTGACAATGTGAAACATGCAGTTAAAGCTCCCTTCATATAGCTTTCTTGACTCTATTAAATAAGTTATTATTTTCTTAACTATGATGAAGTCGTCATATTATTGGATTGAGGGTTTACTAAAATATGATTTTGTTTATCTTCATGCTAAACTATGTTGTAGCATCTTTTTTTCCAATTTGTTTTATTTTTACGAGTCATAAAATATTTTGCAACTTATATCATTCATGCACGTTATAATACCTGTATTGAAATTGCTACCCTCAGCCATGAGCTGCTGCTTTTTGAAGCTTTAAGAGAGGGCCTAGAAGAAGAGATGGACCGTGATCCCCGAGTTTGCGTCATGGGTGAAGATGTTGGTCACTATGGTGGGTCATACAAGGTGACAAAAGGTTTTGCCACCAAGTTCGGCGACCTGAGGGTTCTTGATACCCCCATTGCTGAAAATTCCTTCACAGGCATGGGCATTGGAGCTGCAATGACTGGCCTAAGACCTGTTATTGAGGGTATGAACATGGGGTTTCTCTTGCTTGCCTTTAATCAAATATCTAACAACTGTGGCATGCTCCATTATACTTCTGGAGGCCAGTTCACCATCCCAGTGGTGATCCGCGGACCCGGCGGTGTTGGCCGTCAACTCGGCGCAGAACATTCCCAGCGCCTGGAGTCTTACTTCCAGTCCATTCCCGGCCTTCAGATGGTCGCCTGCTCCACCCCATACAATGCCAAGGGCCTCATGAAAGCTGCCATCCGCAGCGAGAACCCGGTGGTTCTATTCGAGCATGTTCTGCTATATAATCTCAAGGAGAGGATCCCTGATGAAGATTATTTGCTGTGTTTAGAAGAAGCAGAAATGGTTCGGCCTGGGGAGCACGTTACAATTCTCACCTACTCTCGCATGAGATACCATGTAATGCAAGCTGCAAAGACACTAATAAACAAGGGATATGACCCTGAGGTCATTGATATCAGGTCATTGAAGCCATTTGATCTCTACACCATTGGAAACTCGATCAAGAAGACCCATCGAGTGCTGATTGTGGAAGAATGCATGCGCACCGGAGGTATCGGTGCGAGTTTGAGGTCGGCCATCATTGACAATTTTTGGGATTACCTGGATGCACCTATAATGTGCTTGTCGTCTCAGGATGTCCCGACGCCATATGCAGGGACACTGGAAGAGTGGACTGTTGTGCAGCCGGCACAAATTGTAGCAGCTGTGGAGCAGCTCTGCAAGTAATTTTTTATCATCCGGAAATTTGATTTGTTCACCCTAAAACTGCTATTGTTTCACTTTGTTGTTGCTGTTATCGTATTCAGGCTGTGCGTTGCTGCTGTTATTTATTTTAAGCCGACTGGCTTCACAAATTCATATACTGTTTACCTGGAAAATGAATTTTGGTTGAATTGAGGTAGAATGTATCAATAATGCTTTTACAAGCCTCTCGTTTTTTTTTTTTTTTTAAATTTGCTCATATTGGAATTTATTGATCAGATATTAAAGCGTTTGTCTTTATAAAAAGGGCATTAGTTCACCTTCTAGTATTCATTTCGGTTCTTTCTTTTTTTTTCTTTGGGTCAAATGCTTGAAATTCAAGCTTCATTCAGGATGATTTTTATACTGTTTATTGAAGTGATTTTCTAGTTCAAAAATTAAAAATTTTAAACTTAAAACCTACTTTAAGAAACAGTAAGAAAGTCGTCCCAAACAAAACCTCAGAGGCTGCTTTGTTTTCTAAGTAGTTTTGTCATAATTATGACATCATTGGCATGTTTATTATGAAATGTGTAAAAGTAATATAGAATTTTTGTTGCAAACGTTGAGTTTTCAACAAGTGGAATATCAAATAATTTTCCATTTTGCTGTCATATGAAAGCAGATTATTTGTTCACCTTTTGAATGTTAATTAGGGTCCTAGAGCCCCTTGTATTCAAGACCTATGTGGGTTTGTGCCAGAAATTTATTTTATAGTTTAAGTAAATAATATAATAACTTCGTTAAAAGCTAAGTGATGGGAGCTTAATAGCACGTACTTGTTGAAATTATTATCTCATTTTAGCCAAACTATCCATAAATTAGTAAGATTGAATTAAAGCTTAAGCTTAAGTGGATGAAGGTCAGTGGCGTAGCCAAAGATAATCAGATTCAGATGCACTAATCAAACAACCTTTTCACAATCTGAGCTAAGTACGAAAACACCAGTCAGCAAAACGAAATCACGATCTAAACTCAGCATGACTTTGTACAATATTAAAGGAAGCTAAACATGACAACAACAAACACAATCCCACTATGAAAACAACAAACACAATCCCAAACTGAAAAGAAATCTTACATAAGAACTAAAAACATCTAATGAAATCCTTGCAAACGATATCTTTTATAGAAAACTAAAACGAAATTGCAAGAGATTTTGAGAGCTTACCTTATGCACTTCAAGTGTGAATTGCCAGAAGGGAGTGAATCTACAAATGCACGGGTACGAACTGCTAGATGCACCGTTTCAAGATGATCCTTTTGCATGAAATCCAATGCAAGGCTACTGGCCCGGTTGGACGCACTGGTGGAGTCATGGAGGCCTGATGCAGAGGCGATGAGACGAGAACTTCCTGCGCCTCGCGACTCGCGAGAGCTTTTGAGGCCGAAGTATTAGGGCAAGCGAATGTCGAACCCCCAAAACGCAGAACTGTCTGTACGCATGGTGTTTTTTTTTTCGCAGAAGGTGCACGTCTCCCCATGGGACCCCGCCTGCCTCCACCGTTGATGCAGGTGCAACAATCACCTAGATTTTATTAGGAACTAGGACATTAAGAGTCCGGATCTGTTTAGGATGGTTGCAGTTTTTTTATAAAATTGATTGTAAAGCTATTATAAAGAACATAATTTTTTTAAAAGTTGCTGTAAAAGATAATTTTCTTGCAATATGACAAATAAAACTTTAAAGAAATATGTGCCAAATAAAATCTAAAACAACATTGAAGTTGCAGAGCTTCAATGAGATTATTTTAAAGCTATGTCAAGCGCCGACTCTAAGACCCAAACATAATTGCTATAAGATTTACTTGGAACTCTTTGCTCAGGTTTCCAACATTGGACGCCTTCCAGGAAACCTCTGTTGACTCTACTTCCACTAGCTTATTCTCCATCTAGACAAATTTTGAAGGAAGCCTGCAGCTCATGGGCGCAAGTCTGTTGAGATGCTTCAATAGCCTTTTCAATGGGAAAAGTAAAAAACATTGCAATTCAAATAAGGATCCAACAAGATTTAGACTGACTTTGAAAAATATTTGAATTGATTTGAATTCAAACTAATAACTCCTATTAGTGGTGTTTTGGTTTAAAAAAAAAAAAGATTTTGGATCATATTTTGCCCAAAGTATAGATATAATGGAGATGTTCTAAATAAATGTATTATGAGAGATAAAAATTCACTCATCTATAGGGTTGTCAATTAGGATTGGTCAGTCGAGTTTGACTTTGACCTAAAATTGACTATGCTTAATTCGAACCCAATTTGCTAATCATATAATTTAATCTAAATCAAGCTCGACCCGAACTCGACTAACATAAAATCAACTCTTTTGGCCCATTTATCATAAAGATTATGTTTTTTTAATCAACACGATTAGTTTAACCTAAATACAACTCATTTAACCCTAAAACAATCCTTTTAATTTCAAAATTAATCTAAATAATTGAATTAAAAAAATATGTTAAAAATAAAAAATATATAGAAGCTACTATTAACAGAAGATATGACTATAAAATATCAAATTTAGAGAAACAAAATTTTCAAATAAAACATACATCATAACAAAATCAAAACAAAATCAAAGCTATAAAGAAAAAGTTCAGAAGAGAGCTAAAAATTTATGGAACATGAACTAAATAGTGGAAATCTTCATGAATGGGAGATCATTCCATTTTCCAAAGAACCATATGAAAGCCAACAACATAATTATTTTGGATCCCAATGGTACATTTCAGCAGAGATAGAAAGGAGTAACCTACTTGAACTAATAAAGCACTAGTACAAACAATAGGGTCCCAAAAATAAATGGCAAAGAGCAAAACTCTAAGTCACCGGCATAAAAATCAATTGGACCAAATCCACCAGCATAAAAATAAAAAAAATGTCATATCGTCCATTAAGGTAATAGGATATTTACCACCAGCATAAAAAAAAAAAAATGTCATATCGCCCATTTAGGTAACTGGTCATTTAGGCTAATTAGGACAAACTCATACACATCACCACGGGCAAATCTACCTACCCCCACCCCCCACATAAAGGTTGAACCCCTGGCGGGGCGCTGCCCCCTTGAACTCCCGACATATCTGAGAATTCTTTACACTTTTACTTATAAATTTGTCGCACCCCCTGAAAATTAAGGCGGGTTCCGCCCCTGCACATCATATATGCAAGACTCGATTCCAACACCTCTTAGTTGGTAGCCAGAGCTTCCAATCAACAAACCAAGAAGAATTAGGTGCCCTCCCAAATAATATTTCATAAATCTCTAATAGGAAAAGAGGTTATAATATTGCATCCACCAAAATAATTGAGGAGGGCTCCACAATCCCATACGAGTTTTGTTAGCTTCAAAAAATGAGAGAAACATGAGGACAATATTAATAAATTTAGCATTGTCCCACATATAATTAATCGTATTAGCATAGAACATTATATAACATAGAGTAAAACTAATATTTATAAAATAAATTTAAAAGATATATTAGAAGGCTGCTCAACACCTCTAAATTAAGGGAATGCGGCATCGAATTAACTTTCACAAATGATTATTTCTAATTATATATATATATATATTGGATATAAACAATTAAATATTTAAATTATTTTAATTTGAAACCAACATACAATTGATTAAATTAATTAAATGCTTAAAATAATATCCAACTAAATTTTACTAACCTTGATCTATCATGAATCTAAGTAAAAAAGAAAGTTGGATCTAGAAAAAAAAATTAAAAATTTTATTATTTCAAAAAAAAAATATGAAAACCATTAATTTAATATTATACAAATGAAAGATCTAACATGGATTAAAATAAAAATTATAGGTATAAAAATAAATCTTAGAAAAACATAAATCTAAGAAAGATATAGATCCGAAACAAAATATATAAATCTAACATTAAATATAACACACATCTAAATATTTAATAATAATAGTAATAGTAAATATAATAATAATACATCTAGATTTATGGAGGAATCGAGCAAGGCCTAAGGGCATCTCCAACCGAAAATCTCATTTTTCACTCCAAAATACAGCGAAACCAAAAAATGCCGTGTTTCATCTACAATCTAACTCCATTTTGCCGCTTAACCGTCGCTTTGGCGCCTTTCTTCCGGTTCGGTAGAGAGAAAAAAATGGCGGAGATGAACAGTGCAACGCCAATATTGACGTCACACTGTTCATCCGCGATCAAATGGCGGCAAAAATGGCGATCGGTTGGAGCAAAGCGAGAACGGCAAACAAGTGTTTGCCGTTCGGTTGGAGATGCCCTAAATGAGATATGATGAGTCATGTGCAACAATATATATTAAGATTTTGTTTGAGATGATTTTTTTTTTTACTTTTTCTTAAAATAATTTTTTAGTACAAAAATTATACAAAAAAAGTAATTTAGTGCAACCTGGAGAAGTTGAGTGTAAGCGTAATTTTTTGATACTATTTTTAGTGCAACCTTGTAGAAGAAATACATTTTAAAACATCTTCCCACACTTACTAAAAAGTTGTTTTAAAAATCAATAAGAAAGCCGTCCCAAACAAAGTTTGGCTTTGTTTGGGACGGCTTTCTTACTGCTTCTTAAAATAACTTTTTAGTAGAAATATTTTAATTTTTATACTAAAAAGCTGCTTTAAGAAGCAATAAGAAAGCGGTCTCAAACGAAACCTAAGTTAGCTAAAAATTACTTACATATATGGTTGATCAATTAGTTCTAAAATTGAGTTAATTTATGTTTAATTTAAGGCTTCGTTTTGGACGTTTTTTTTTTTTGCTTCTTAAAGCAGCTTTCTAGTACAAAGATTTAATTTTTGTACAAGAAAGTTGTTTTAAAAAAGCAATAAAAAGTCATCCCAAATGAAGCCTAAGTCACTATTATATGATGAGGTGGTATGAATGCATATATTTCATATATTCAAGTTGTAAAATTGACAATGCAGTGCATTAACATTTTTTCTATGTATGACGCATTACAATTGTCTTATGACAGCCCCATAGTCCATCTGGGATGACTATAACATTTTATAAAGTTGATTGTGAAATTATTATAAGGAAATCAACTTGACTATTCAGGTTGAAAAAATAGCCTTCTACTATAAATTTTTTTAAAAACAATGAAAAATCATAAAAAAAAAGTAGTTAAGCAAAATTATGATTGTTATCTCAAAAACAGAGCAACGAAAGAGTTAACCCAAACAGACCCTCAATCAAACCTAATATGCTATGCTTTATGATTGAGACAAAGGATTCGTTTGGTATAGCTTTTTTATTACTTCGTAAAGCTACTTTTTAATAAAAAAATATCTTAAAAATAAGAAAAAAACAATGATCTAAAACTGTCCGAAGCCAAAATAACAATCGCAAGGCTATCATAAACAAAATTGTGATTGTTTCCTCTTATGGTTGTATCTGTGACTGCTCGAGATCCTCACAATATGTTGTGAGGAGTATTATTACGACTGACACAACTCACATTGGTATATTGGTTGAGAGCTTATGCTTCCAACTAAGAGGTCTTGGGTTCGAGCCTTTGTGTATGCGTTGTGTGTGTGAGTTTGCTTTAAATGGAGATTTTATATATAAAAAAAAGTATTATTACGACTGACGTAACGATGTTTGGAGATTTTATGTCATTCAGTCAAATATTTAATTGTTATTTTTTAAATTATAAATCAATACAAAAGCAATTTTCTCAAAATTATCTTGATAATTGTAGAGAATCCAAATTCGAATAAAATAAAATTCTCATTGGACGTGAAAGATGCAATGGTCACACGATCGGGCTGAGTAAAACTAGCTCTCGAACCAAATCAACTCATTGTAGGGATATAATCGAGTCGAGTTCAACTCTAGTTCTCGAGCTTGGCTCGCCTAATATTTATGCGGTTCGAGCTTGACTCGAGCTCGATACTCAAGCTAGAACTTAACTCAAATGTTAAAATTTTCGCTCGAATTCAATTCGTTAGCTCGGGCTCCAATAAGATGCTCGAACTCGGCTCGAACACTCAACCACAGCTAAGTCTCATTAGCTTACGAGTTATCTCACTTAAAAATGTTAATATAAAATATACTTAAGAGATTCATATATAAAGTTACTGAAAACATTTATTTAAAAATTATATGTTACCTAGAATTTTTTTTGAAACGGCTATAATTTTTTATAAAAGTTTTTTAAAACTGATATAAAAAAGTAAATTTTTAGCATAAAAATATCTTTAAAATAATGAAAAATAATGCTCATGTAGAAAATATGATTGTGAATTAAAAAAAAATAAAATAATAAGTGATTCTTTGTTGATTTTTTTAATGTAATTTTAATATGATTATTATTATTTGCTACCAACGTCGCCAGCGTTTTACGCTCACAAAAAAACTCATCGGGGTTGGAGTTGAAAGGGCAATGATTGATTGTTGGAATCTAAAAAAGTCCCCCATTCAGAAAGCTTCATCACATCAAGCCTATAAAAAATATCCAAAAATGCGCAGTAAACGAAATTTCAGCCACCACAAATATAACACTCATCAGAACCGTCCATTCCGAGCCTATCCTCTCCGCGCGGTCCTGCCAATGTTCTCATCCGCACGTGTCCTCCTCCTATCCTAAAATAGGGAGAAAAATAAATATCACCAATTAATAATTAAAAAAAAGAACAAAATAGATATATAACATTTCAAATAAAAAAATTCTAAAAATATTAATATTTAATTTAAAATAAAAAATGTAGAATATATATTTTTTTTGTTTTTTAAGAGACATCCAATAAAATTTAAAAATATTTAAAATTAACTATTTAGTTTAATCTCTACGTAATTTGAAAATTATCATATTTGATAATTAAATTTATTTATCATTATTGGATTCTCATTGTAATTTATATAAAATTTTATTAAAAATAGTTAAAAATAATAGTAAAATAAAATTTATGATTATAATCTTAAAAATAAAATAGCAAGAAAATTATTTCAAATAAATTCTTAATGTCAATAATATGGAGGTTTATATTACAAGAGAGAATGATTCAATTTAGAATTTATTAAAGAAAAAATAAATGTGGATGTAATAATAATATTTCATATGGTTCACCCATTTTGATTGAGCTCTAAAATAGTTTATTCCAAAAAAAAAAAAGATTGAATAGAGATCCTGACCTAAATCAAAGCCTTAGAGAAAGATCAACTTGTGAGTCCTCTTCCTCATCGGCAGCAACTTCCTCATTTGCCTGCCATTGATTGAGAACAGATCCCCTCTGCCAATTAAGAAAATCCATCGTCTCGCATCCGTCTGTGGCATCCCCCGCCGGCGCAGGAACAAATAAATGCTGGCCATAACCATCACCAAAGCGGGCGGCGCCACCACTATGGACCCCAAAGAAACCGGCCGCCTCGCCGACTACAGCCGAAGACCGACATCCATGGGATTCGATTGGGAGCGACACCGGGGAGGAGAAAAAAGTAGGCGGAGGCGGCGTCGGCGGCGGTGGCGTGAGATATAGGTGGTGAGGGTTCCAGCTGACGCTTCGCTCCTTCTTATGGGCGTTCTGGTGGCCGCCGAGAGCTTGGGATTTGAGGAATTTTTTGTTGCAGAAGAGGCAGGGGAAGAGACGGAGGTCTCTTTGGTGCTGGGGAGTTGAGGGGGAGGAAGAGGAGGTGGAAGGGGAGGAGGTGGTTGGCTGTGCAGATAGAGTTAAGGAGAAGTCTGGGGTTGCTGGAGATGACGACGGCGGCGGAGGAGGCGGCGGGTGGTCTGCTGGTGGGGAAGAGGAAGAGGGAGAGTGGGGCAGTGGTGTTGCTGTTTGCATTGTGATGTTCTGTTGTAGGTCTGAACAATGGACGACTGTTTATGGTGAGACAGAGTGAGAATGCTTTCTGTATGTGCGTGGAGGAGGGTATAATGGGTATTCAAGCAAGTCATACAACAAAGGCAGCTAAATTTTAAAATAAAACATTAAAACCTCAAATAAAGCGAAATTATTCAGAAGATTTTTATTTTTATTTTTAATAGAACCCATACAATGGGCCTAAGTGTTAATTAAAAAGAAGTTTATAAGTCCTTAATGAATCAACAGCCCTATAAAAATACAACATTTGAAGTAAAATCTACAAGCTGTCGATCCAATCTATTACAAGAGACAACAAAAGCAAAATAAAAACCTAACAAAACAACAACAAAAAAGGAATAAGGGCCAAGAGTGAACAACGGCCAAAGAGCAACCCAAAGAAAGCAGCCACCCGATCAAGATCATCAAAGCAGCCACCCGATCAAAACAACCATGAAAATAGCCAAGGTTCAACGCTAAGCAATAGACCATTATATATGAACCTGCAAAAAATGAGCACCACAACTTCCTAGAAGAATGGTTACTTTATGTGGTTGGTTTCCCTTTTGCTTTGCTTTGAAATTATTCAGATAATAGTAAAAATAAAAATTCAAATTAGGCTTACGCTTCGTTTGATAGTTTTCTTACCATTTTTTATAATTGTTCTTTAATACAATTTTTTTCAAAGCAACAAACAAATATTTGTCAAAAGCTGTCTCAAAAGAAACCTTATTCATTCAACGAACGAGTGATCAGTGCTGCCTAGATAGTAGATGTTAGTCTAGTAAAAAATCGGTCGTTGAATGAGGAATTGGCTCTTAGTTTTTTTTAGCAGAAAATCGTTGATTACAAAAAATGACATTCCCCATTATTAAGAAAAGTATTGATACACTGCAATGAACATTAATTATAAAAGATTGATTATGTGGTGGGAGTTGTAAGAGCCTAAGCAGTACTTTCAATATAGGGTTGTAAAGGAATTGAGCTGAGTCGAGTAGGTGCTTGTTCATATTTGAGCTTGTTTATTAGCAGCTTGTTCAAGCTCCTTTCAAGCTTAATTCTAGTTTTTCTATTTGTGGTTAAGCTTGATTCATTTAAAGTGGAAGGAGTTCAAGCTTGGTTTATATTTTGCTCATGTTTGTTTCATAGTGTTCTTATTGAGCTTTAAATGAGACTTGTATAAATAAATAAAAGAGCCTTATCGAGCCAATCACGAACAATTATAATAAGCTTTATGAGCTCGTTAATGAACATATCTGTCAAGCCTTAACTAGTTCGTAAATGAGCCAACCTATCAAGCATTTTCGATCATGAAAATAAGTAGCTTGAAAGGCTCTTTATAAATAACATCAATTTAATTTATGTTTAGAGTTTAATCTAATTAATATATGTTTTCATGTTTAACAAGTTTTAAATTTATTAATTAAAGATTAATTATGATATTAGTTTATAATAAATATAAATCATTTAAATTAGTTAGTCATTGTTTTTTTATAATAAGACTTTCACAAGTTTCTTAACGACATTGCTCACAGTTTGTTATTGAAAATAAATTGTGTTTCCTAATAAGCTTGTTCACAAGCTATGTCTCAAATATTAATCGAGCTTCTTATCGAGCTTATTGGCGAGGTTAAATCATATTGTTCATGAATATAAATAAATTGAATAAATAGCTGTTCAAGCTTGTTTATTTTAAAAAATCGTTCAAACTTGTTTGATTAGTTAAACAAACGTTACAAACGATCGTGAACAGGTTGTAAAGGAGCTGAGCCACGAATAGCTTATCGAACACTCAATTCGATTGCAACCCTACTTCAAGAGATCATTCATTGTTAGTTTAATAACTCTTCATTAAAAAGGGAAGACCATAGAAAAAAAGCGTCCAACATAAATTTTGGTTGTTAATATTGGGATTCAAAGTTGATATAGACGTCATATATCTACCTTATAGATGATATTTGTAACAACCACTAGCAACGAATTGAAGTCAGTGAGCATCAACATTTATGTCATTAATGTGTATTTGCATATAACTATTGGCATGCATTAATATTCATGTTAATCGAAAATGACGAAGTCAACGATAATCAGTGTATTTGGGTGATAGTGGTAATGAGACTCTAGTGAGGCGACGATGGTTGGGAGATTTAGTCGAGCAATATTGGTCAGGACACCATAGTCCGGCGATAGTGCTTAAGAAATCTTTATCAAATGGCGTTGGATAGAGAAATATATTAGGGCAATGGTGGTCATGGAACTGTAGTCGGGCGATAATGATAGAAGGATCATAATCGGGTAACTATGTTCAAAGGATTGTAGTCAGGTGACAATAATCAGGAGAGCATAGTTTAGCAACAAACGTCAGAAGATCATATTTGAGTGACAATAATTGGAGGCTTGTAGTTGGGAGATAATGGTTAGGAGATCATAGCTATAAGACGATGGTTGGGAGGTCATGGTTGGGCACCAATAGTTGAGGATTATAGTTAAGCATCAACCGTTGGGAGATAGTAATTGAGTGATGGTGGTCAATATATAATAGTAGCGTAATGGTGGTTGGAAGGCCATTGCTGAGTATTGGTGGGTGATCAGAGACAATAATCAGGTGATGGTGGTCGAGTGATTGTAATTGGGCAAAGGTGCTTGAGAGACTGTGTGATACCCCAGGATTTAATTTGAAAGAATTATTCTTTTATCTTTTGATAAATAATAACTAGAGCTACCTAATTTTTTTTATTAATATAAATTCCAGTGATCGATCAAAATATCAACATATACATATATATTTCTTTCTAAAAAATCATGTATACTACTCAATATCTATACAATCAAATCATAATTACTATGTCTTGAGCTACAAAAGAATAACTAAAATAACAAGAACATAATATGAGGAATCCTAATCAGTCTCACACTACAGCTCACTTGCCTTGACATGAAATGATCATTTAATCACCTATAATGAGCACAAGAGCCCAGCAAGTAATCAAATTCTACAATTGAACTCTACGCAAGGTAAACTAGCAATATGTATGTCAACAGCCAAATCATAATAGTAATAGTCATATGATGATCAAGAATTGGTGCAAAAATAGTAAAACTTACATATAGTAATAGTAGAATTTGTAAACAATAAAACAATACAAAATGAAAGCCAGTAAACCAATATAGTGTTGAATCACTAAAGCAATCATTATATTAGTACTATCAATCAGTAAAAAAATTGTATAAACTGGTAAAACTAAAGTATCGATAAATACTGTCAAAATTATATCAATGTAGTAAAATTATTTAATAATGTATACATACTATATAATTATTCTATATCAGTATCAAATTAATATCTTAATCACATGCTTGGTATATCACAATAAACAAGTAAGGAGTCCTGACTTAATTGATGTTTTTCAATAATCAGTAATCAGTAATCGACAATCGTTGGCTCAGTAAATAGAGTTGTCACTCTTTGTCCGTCGACATAATTTTCATCGATCTCCTTATAACTCCCAATTAGTGCATGTAAATCAATTGAGGATAACACCAAATCACATATTTAAAAGAAAGTTTGTCGACCCACTATCATGTATAGATTAATCTATCTCCAACCAACGTTAGTGAATAACCAGTATTTACTTATTTTTCTCCACACACATATTATTATCATAGTATTATAATAGTATATACCGACTAACTATTGCTTAACCACATATTCACACATCTTTTCAATGTATTACAATAAATAAAATATAATTATGTTTAATTTAGATAGAGCCAAAATGACCTAATGGTAGGAGAAAAAAAACCTATTGAGAAAAAATTTACATTTTAAAAAATTTATCAAATTACTAGAGATGTTATAAAATAATATTTTGAAGCTTTAATTGAACTAAAGCACTATATTTAGATATCAAAATAAATTTATAAATAGGCAAAAATTATTGCATTTTCAAAATCACTCGGTGAAAAATCTCAAATAGATACTCCAAATTTTCATAATCTCAATCTCTATAACATTTAAAAAGTTTCGCAGTGAAAGTTTTATCAATATAAAATTATCCGCATTTTTTAATAACTGAAATACAATTTTGATCAAAAAATAATAAAATTAAAAATTATTAAAATAAAAAATAGGATAATGTTTCAATTTTCCAACAGGTTTCAATGATGAAATCACTATAAGATCTTCAAATCTACCTTTTCTTTTATCTCTCCTCACATTTTCCTCTTAATTCTCTAATTCATTCTTTATTAGCAGAACAGGAAAGAAAGAAGGGATTAATAAAAGTTTTATAATGCTTTAAGATATTTATAATAAACAATAATATAATATAAATATAATTATATAATTTAAATAATGTTTCATATAAAATTCATATAAATCTTTTTTGGGCCTTAAAAACTATAGAAAAATATAAATTAAATGACACTTTTTTAAAAAAAAAATTTGTGAAATAAGTTCGCAAAAAGGATATGTGACTGTTTTAAAATCACCATTTTGTACCGACAAATGTCAATTTTTTAAGGATTTGCTCCAGTACCCAAAATTTATGAAAAAATTAGTGTAATTAAAACACTATAATGTCCATGTCATGGTGAAGGCAATTTATGATTTGGACTTATATTTACTCTTAAAAAAATTATTTGTCTGGATTAAAATATGGGCTGTTATAGACTGGTTTGGAGTATTTGGTCAGAGTCAGTTGTAGTCAAGTGACGATTGTCAGAGGACTATAGTTAGAAGATGGTGTTCTGAAGATTATAGTCAAACGATGATGATTAGATGTTGAAGTCGAGTTGTAAAAATTCAAACTCTTATAATCGAGATATTGTCTTCTTTGGCCTGAGGGCCTCACAATTTTGTCATATTGGTATAACTTCCAGGAAGTCACTCATCCTAAGATTTCTTCGAAATAAGCACACTTATCTGCGTAGTTTCTTAATGGAATTCCAAACATTACATCAAAAGGTGTGTCGATATTTAAGAGTATGTTCTTTTATTTAAGGAGTTTCATAAGGGTAATGATGGTTAGGAGATTAAAATTTGGCAATGATGATCAGGAGACCATAATTTGATAGCAGTGAATACGAGATCGTAGTTAAGTGACATTTATCATAGGATCATAATCGAGTAATATATAGTGATTGGAGGAACGCAGTCTCATGATGATAATCAGATGATCGTAGTCAAGCAATCTCCTCCTATCCTAAAATAGGGAGAAAAATAAATATCACCAATTAATAATTAAAAAAAAGAACAAAATAGATATATAACATTTCAAATAAAAAAATTCTAAAAATATTAATATTTAATTTAAAATAAAAAATGTAGAATATATATTTTTTTTGTTTTTTAAGAGACATCCAATAAAATTTAAAAATATTTAAAATTAACTATTTAGTTTAATCTCTACGTAATTTGAAAATTATCATATTTGATAATTAAATTTATTTATCATTATTGGATTCTCATTGTAATTTATATAAAATTTTATTAAAAATAGTTAAAAATAATAGTAAAATAAAATTTATGATTATAATCTTAAAAATAAAATAGTAAAAAAATTATTTCAAATAAATTCTTAATGTCAATAATATGTAGGTTCATATTACAAGAGAGAATAATTCAATTTAGAATTTATTAAAGAAAAAATAAATGTGGATGTAATAATAATATTTCATATGGTTCACCCATTTTGATTGAGCTCTAAAATAGTTTATTCCAAAAAAAAAAAAGATTGAATTAGAGATCCTGACCTAAATCAAAGCCTTAGAGAAAGATCAACTTGTGAGTCCTCTTCCTCATCGGCTGCAACATCCTCATTTGCCTCCCATTGATTGAGAACAGATCCCCTCTGCCAATTAAGAAAATCCATCGTCTCGCATCCGTCTGTGGCATCCCCCGCCGGCGCAGGAACAAATAAATGCTGGCCATAACCATCACCAAAGCGGGCGGCGCCACCACTATGGACCCCAAAGAAACCGGCCGCCTCGCCGACAACAGCCGAAGACCGACATCCATGGGATTCGATTGGGAGCGACACCGGGGAGGAGAAAAAAGTAGGCGGAGGCGGCGTCGGCGGCGGTGGCGTGAGATATAGGTGGTGAGGGTTCCAGCTGACGCTTCGCTCCTTCTTATGGGCGTTCTGGTGGCCGCCGAGAGCTTGGGATTTGAGGAATTTTTTGTTGCAGAAGAGGCAGGGGAAGAGACGGAGGTCTCTTTGGTGCTGGGGAGTTGAGGGGGAGGAAGAGGAGGTGGAAGGGGAGGAGGTGGTTGGCTGTGCAGATAGAGTTAAGGAGAAGTCTGGGGTTGCTGGAGATGACGACGGCGGCGGAGGAGGCGGCGGGTGGTCTGCTGGTGGGGAAGAGGAAGAGGGAGAGTGGGGCAGTGGTGTTGCTGTTTGCATTGTGATGTTCTGTTGTAGGTCTGAACAATGGACGACTGTTTATGGTGAGACAGAGTGAGAATGCTTTCTGTATGTGCGTGGAGGAGGGTATAATGGGTATTCAAGCAAGTCATACAACAAAGGCAGCGAAATTTTAAAATAAAACATTAAAACCTCAAATAAAGCGAAATTATTCAGAAGATTTTTTTTTTTTTTTTAATAAAACCCATACAATGGGCCTAAGTGTTAATTAAAAAGAAGTTTATAAGTCCTTAATGAATCAACAGCCCTATAAAAATACAACATTTGAAGTAAAATCTACAAGCTGTCGATCCAATCTATTACAAGAGACAACAAAAGCAAAATAAAAACCTAACAGAACAACACAAAAAAGGAATAAGGGCCAAGAGTGAACAACGGCCAAAGAGCAACCCAAAGAAAGTAGCCACCCGATCAAGACCATCGAAGCAGCCACTCAATCAAGACAACCATGAAAATAGCCAAGGTTCAACGCTAAGCAATAGACCATTATATATGAACCTTCAAAAAATGAGCACCACAACTTTCTAGTAGAACGGTTACTTTATGTGGTTGGTTTCCCTTTTGATTTACTTTGAGATTATTCAGAAAATAGTAAAACTAAAAATTCAAATTAGGCTTACGCTTCGTTTGATAGTTTTCTTACCATTTTTTATAATTGTTCTTTAATACAATTTTTTTGTCAAAGCAACAAACAAATATTTGTCAAAAGCTGTCTCAAAAGAAACCTTATTCATTCAACGAACGAGTGATCAGTGCTGCCTAGATAGTAGATGTTAGTCTAGTAAAAAATCGGTCGTTGAATGAGGAATTGGCTCTTAGTTTTTTTTAGCAGAAAATCGTTGATTACAAAAAATGACATTCCCCATTATTAAGAAAAGTATTGATACACTGCAATGAACATTAATTATAAAAGATTGATTATGTGGTGGGAGTTGTAAGAGCCTAAGCAGTACTTTCAATATTGGGTTGTAAAGGAATTGAGCTGAGTCGAGTAGGTGCTTGTTCATATTTGAGCTTGTTTATTAGCAGCTTGTTCAAGCTCCTTTCAAGCTTAATTCTAGTTTTTCTATTTGTGGTTAAGCTTGATTCATTTAAAGTGAAAGGAGTTCAAGCTTGGTTTATATTTTGCTCATGTTTGTTTCATAGTGTTCTTATTGAGCTTTAAATGAGACTTGTATAAATAAATAAAAGAGCCTTATCGAGCCAATCACGAACAATTATAATAAGCTTTATGAGCTCGTTAATGAACATATCTGTCAAGCCTTAACTAGTTCGTAAATGAGCCAACCTATCAAGCATTTTCGATCATGAAAATAAGTAGCTTGAAAGGCTCTTTATAAATAACATCAATTTAATTTATGTTTAGAGTTTAATCTAATTAATATATGTTTTCATGTTTAACAAGTTTTAAATTTATTAATTAAAGATTAATTATGATATTAGTTTATAATAAATATAAATCATTTAAATTAGTTAGTCATTGTTTTTTTATAATAAGACTTTCACAAGTTTCTTAACGACATTGCTCACAGTTTGTTATTGAAAATAAATTGTGTTTCCTAATAAGCTTGTTCACAAGCTATGTCTCAAATATTAATCGAGCTTCTTATCGAGCTTATTGGCGAGGTTAAATCATATTGTTCATGAATATAAATAAATTGAATAAATAGCTGTTCAAGCTTGTTTATTTTAAAAAATCGTTCAAACTTGTTTGATTAGTTAAACAAACGTTACAAACGATCGTGAACAGGTTGTAAAGGAGCTGAGCCACGAATAGCTTATCGAACACTCAATTCGATTGCAACCCTACTTCAAGAGATCATTCATTGTTAGTTTAATAATTCTTCATTAAAAAGGGAAGGCCATAGAAAAAAAGCGTCCAACATAAATTTTGGTTGTTAATATTGGGAGTCAAAGTTGGTATAGACGTCATATATACCTTATAGATGATATTTGTAACAACCGCTAGCAACGAAGTCAGTGAGCATCAACATTTATGTCATTAATGTGAATTTGCATTATAACTATTAGCATGCATTAATATTCATGTTAATCGAAAACGACGAAGTCAACGATCATCAGTGTATTTGGGTGATAATGGTAATGAGACTCTAGTGAGACGACGATGGTTGGGAGATTTAGTCGAGCAATATTGGTCAGGACACCATAGTCCGGCGATAGTGCTTAAGAAATCTTTATCAAATGGCGTTGGATAGAGAAATATATTAGGGCAATGGTGGTCATGGAACTGTAGTCGGGCGATAATGATAGAAGGATCATAATCGGGTAACTATGTTCAACGGACTGTAGTCAGGTGACAATAATCAGGAGAGCATAGTTTAGAAACAACTGTCGAAAGAGCATATTTCAGTGATAATAATTGGAGGCTTGTAGTTGGGAGATAATGGTTAGGAGATCATAGCTATAAGACGATGGTTGGGAGGTTATGGTTGGGCACCAATAGTTGAGGATTATAGTTAAGCATCAACCGTTGGGAGATAGTAATTGAGTGATGGTGGTCAATATATAATAGTAGCGTAATGGTGGTTGGAAGGCCATTGCTGAGTATTGGTGGGTGATCAGAGACAATAATCAGGTGATGGTGGTCGAGTGATTGTAATTGGGCAAAGGTGCTTGAGAGACTGTGTGATACCCCAGGATTTAATTTGAAAGAATTATTCTTTTATCTTTTGATAAATAATAACTAGAGCTACCTAATTTTTTTTATTAATATAAATTCCAGTGATCGATCAAAATATCAACATATACATATATATTTCTTTCTAAAAAATCATGTATACTACTCAATATCTATACAATCAAATCATAATTACTATGTCTTGAGCTACAAAAGAATAACTAAAATAACAAGAACATAATATGAGGAATCCTAATCAGTCTCACACTACAGCTCACTTGCCTTGACATGAAATGATCATTTAATCACCTATAATGAGCACAAGAGCCCAGCAAGTAATCAAATTCTACAATTGAACTCTACGCAAGGTAAACTAGCAATATGTATGTCAACAGCCAAATCATAATAGTAATAGTCATATGATGATCAAGAATTGGTGCAAAAATAGTAAAACTTACATATAGTAATAGTAGAATTTGTAAACAATAAAACAATACAAAATGAAAGCCAGTAAACCAATATAGTGTTGAATCACTAAAGCAATCATTATATTAGTACTATCAATCAGTAAAAAAATTGTATAAACTGGTAAAACTAAAGTATCGATAAATACTGTCAAAATTATATCAATGTAGTAAAATTATTTAATAATGTATACATACTATATAATTATTCTATATCAGTATCAAATTAATATCTTAATCACATGCTTGGTATATCACAATAAACAAGTAAGGAGTCCTGACTTAATTGATGTTTTTCAATAATCAGTAATCAGTAATCGACAATCGTTGGCTCAGTAAATAGAGTTGTCACTCTTTGTCCGTCGACATAATTTTCATCGATCTCCTTATAACTCCCAATTAGTGCATGTAAATCAATTGAGGATAACACCAAATCACATATTTAAAAGAAAGTTTGTCGACCCACTATCATGTATAGATTAATCTATCTCCAACCAACGTTAGTGAATAACCAGTATTTACTTATTTTTCTCCACACACATATTATTATCATAGTATTATAATAGTATATACCGACTAACTATTGCTTAACCACATATTCACACATCTTTTCAATGTATTACAATAAATAAAATATAATTATGTTTAATTTAGATAGAGCCAAAATGACCTAATGGTAGGAGAAAAAAAACCTATTGAGAAAAAATTTACATTTTAAAAAATTTATCAAATTACTAGAGATGTTATAAAATAATATTTTGAAGCTTTAATTGAACTAAAGCACTATATTTAGATATCAAAATAAATTTATAAATAGGCAAAAATTATTGCATTTTCAAAATCACTCGGTGAAAAATCACAAAAAGATACTCCAAATTTTCATAATCTCAATCTCTATAACATTTAAAAAGTTTCGCAGTGAAAGTTTTATCAATATAAAATTATCCGCATTTTTTAATAACTGAAATACAATTTTGATCAAAAAATAATAAAATTAAAAATTATTAAAATAAAAAATAGGATAATGTTTCAATTATCTTCATAATCTCAATCTCTATAACATTTAAAAAGTTTCGCAGTGAAAGTTTTATCAATATAAAATTATCCGCATTTTTTAATAACTGAAATACAATTTTGATCAAAAAATAATAAAATTAAAAATTATTAAAATAAAAAATAGGATAATGTTTCAATTTTCCAACAGGTTTCAATGATGAAATCACTATAAGATCTTCAAATCTACCTTTTCTTTTATCTCTCCTCACATTTTCCTCTTAATTCTCTAATTCATTCTTTATTAGCAGAACAGGAAAGAAAGAAGGGATTAATAAAAGTTTTATAATGCTTTAAGATATTTATAATAAACAATAATATAATATAAATATAATTATATAATTTAAATAATGTTTCATATAAAATTCATATAAATCTTTTTTGGGCCTTAAAAACTATAGAAAAATATAAATTAAATGACACTTTTTTAAAAAAAAAATTTGTGAAATAAGTTCGCAAAAAGGATATGTGACTGTTTTAAAATCACCATTTTGTACCGACAAATGTCAATTTTTTAAGGATTTGCTCCAGTACCCAAAATTTATGAAAAAATTAGTGTAATTAAAACACTATAATGTCCATGTCATGGTGAAGGCAATTTATGATTTGGACTTATATTTACTCTTAAAAAAATTATTTGTCTGGATTAAAATATGGGCTGTTATAGACTGGTTTGGAGTATTTGGTCAGAGTCAGTTGTAGTCAAGTGACGATTGTCAGAGGACTATAGTTAGAAGATGGTGTTCTGAAGATTATAGTCAAACGATGATGATTAGATGTTGAAGTCGAGTTGTAAAAATTCAAACTCTTATAATCGAGATATT